TGTCCGGGCGCAAGTGGTATCGGGAACCGCGATCACAAGATTTTCACTGATTCCGCTTCGCCACAGATGCTGGATCCGGCTTGCCACTGTGCCCAGGACACCGACTATAGGACCCTCTAGTATGTCGGGCCCCAACAGAAGGCCGTTGTACTCTGCTTCATTCACGGTGAGATTCTCGAGATAGACCGATCTGGATTTTTGACCATCCTCCATCGATCCCGCTCGTCGTCAGCTCTTTGCGGAGCTGACGAATTGTTGTGAGTGGCGGGAGGGGTACAATCGTGGATTCCCAACACGACAGATCCACGATGAGTATCGGCGTTTGGATCCGGCGTTTAGGTTCCTTCCGAGGCGCGATAGCGGTTAAGGCGTCGTCAATCTTCGACCTCGGCGAGATGCTGGTAGCGATCGCCCCCCAGTATCTCGTCTTTTCCTTTCGTACATTAATTGATCTCGAGAGTCCACGGGGCCAGGAGGGCCGACGATTTTCCTAGACGACCCTGTAATCCTGCCGACCTGAACAGCCAGGCTAACGTGGAATGCCTCGTTAGGACCCGGATCTCGCCTTCCACCAATAAAATGTAGTAGAGATCCAAGATCCTCAGCAATGCCAATACTTCCTTTTCGGTCACATTGTAATTCAACTCGTTCGGTTTCAGCGTGCGGCTGGCAAACGCTACCGGATGGTAGTACCCGTCGTGTTCTTGCGTCAATGAAGCGGAAATCGCCCAACCACTGGCATATACAATCACTACCGGCGTTCTCGTCTCGTCAAAATGGCGGAGGATTGGCGTCGTCGCGATCTTGGTGTTCAGGGTGATGAAAGCCTTATGCGCCCTGATCCACATCTCATCTAATGGTTCCGCCAGCTGAAGTTTCGGTGTGCCGTTATCCCGTGCAATCGAGTCGTTCTGGTCCATGATCTTCTTAAGATCCGATCGTTTCTCCAATTCTGCAAACTCCACCTCGCGTAGCTCATATAGCACCGAGGCGTATATAGCATAGTCCTCAATAAATCGGCTGTAGTAATTTAGACTCCCCAGGATTGATTGCATGGATGGAAGCAATCCGGGGAATGGCAGATCGGTCAGGGATTTCAGATCCGTTGGGTTCGCCTCTAGACCTTTGATCGACCCTCGGTGCCCCAAGTATCCTACCTTATCCATGCCCCAGAAGCTCTTTCTGATCGATAAATTCCACTTATCACAAGCCTTCAACAGGTCTTCCACCATTTGGCACTTTTGATCCCACAACTCCGCTGCGATCATGATGTCGTCAATGTATGATCTTCGTCCGAACACTGAGTCGCGATCAGGATCGTCCGCGATCACCGTCTGGAAAACGTCGTTTGTATTCCTGCGTCACCTGATCGCGGGATTTTCGGAAATCCCTACAGTGCGTTGTCTACGAGGCGTTGATAGATCTGGGGGGCATTTTTCAGGCCAAAAGATAGTTGGCTCCATTCGAATAGACGTTCACCCGCCTCGCGTCATCTCGCGAGCCCAATCCGTCATGAGCACGACTCAGAAGCCACTGGTCACATCCAATGAGCCATACCATAACGCCTTATCGAGGTCCTCTAGTAGATCGCTAATCAGAGGGCATAGGATAGACCATCAACCTCGTGAGGCTGCTTACCAGCTTGTAGTCGATGCACAACCTGATATCCACTCCGTTACTCTTGCGGACAATCACGATCGGTGAGGCACATGGCGATGTCGAGTGTCGGATGATCTGGCATGCTCTCACTTATACCGCCGCCCCCAGCATCGCTGCTCCGGTATCGATCGGCGTCGGGGTTTATCGGTGATGTAGATGGATGTCCTGGTCCCGGA